CCGACATTCATCACTCTGAAATCCTTGTAGAATTTTCGTTAACTACGCTGCGAAAACAACAAGACTCGGACTTTCAGCACGAGTGTTAAGTCAGTCAGCCACTTCTTCTGTGTGGGTCGGAAACACGGCCGGTGTGTCACAAAAAGCATTTCAAACAGGCTACTGTGGCAAACATTTATTAGGAGCTGCCCATTCCCTGGCGACAAATAAGATTTGTATGATCTCAGCAGGAGATGGAGAATTCTTCAAATTATGCCACTGTTCTTCAGATGAGAATTTAATGGCTTAACAAATCGCAGTGAGCCATTCATTCACTCTGTGTCATGTGTACTCATATCTCCTGTGATTTGACGAAGTGTGATGCTTCCTATCCATCTCGCAGCGGCTCGTCATTAGAAAAGTGTTAGTGAGGTCTGGATTGTTTACCGCACGCCAAATCACAAGATTCCGTTGATTGTGTTGTAGACTGAGGATTTATTATTGCCTGTCTTACCTCTGCGTCATTGCGTCGCCTGAGGACAATTGAATGAGAAAAGACACTGGCGATAGTGAGAAACATTTCCAATCCAATACGTTAAGTTCAAATGCCTCAATACTAGTGCATGTTCACAATCAGTTAGCCTCTACCTTGAGAAACTGTCACTCGTGTGTACTCACTTCCTCCTCTTCCCTATCTCTCTCATTTAATTAATCCGGGACAGCTTGACAATGACTTTGTGTCATAGTGAAGCACATTGAAAGCTGTCATCAGAGTGTGTGACCCTCCAGTACGTGAACGCGCTATAATTTGTTACGAGCAGACACTCGAATTCATGTAAGAAACTGGTGAATATCCTCTTGTCAGAATCAGAGCTCCCTCCTCATTCACAACTCGCTCATCACATCTCATCAGGTGGGACTGCAACCAACCAACTGCAAAAGACTCTATCATCAGACGACATAATGTAATAGCTCGACGAAGATTAAGGTGACTGGCATTTCATGTGATAGAAGAGAGACGTGTTAAGCATGAAGATGTGGATTTTCTGCGAATACTTAAAACAAATGAGCGTCACCTTATGTGCTTTCTATCGAAAATATATTCTTGTTAATATGTGGGTAAATTTTCGATATTTCTTTACACACAGATGGCTCTGATTACTTCCATATCGTGCTCATCTCTTAATTCAATAATAATAATAATAATCACAAAAATAGTTTGTTTTATTCCCAAACAGTGCTAACGATACAGTATACAATTCTAAGCATTTGGAACAATCTTGCATCTGATTTTATTGAATAACAAAATAATAATAATGATAATATTGGTAGCTGAGATTGTCAGTTAATTGCGACATTCTCACCTTCGGTTACAAATAGAAGATAGTGAGTGAACGAGCAGATTATTTTACTAACAACGAAGTAATTCATCGGTTTCGCAGTTAACATTCTCTCTATCGCATAGAACGCTGGTTGGCCAAAGATGTCATTTTTGAACTCGTAGACAGCGTAGTACGAGCATATGATCCTCAGTACTGATTTCTGGTTCTCTCAGATGAGATGGCAGTGGAGAGTTGAGAATAGAGGAGGTTTTGAGTGTGAAAACACGCGTTCCGATATCTTTTAACCAATGCAGTAATAAGCTGACTAAGATGTACACCACTGGCTCTGGTGAAAACCGCCGATATCCTTTGCAATATGTCGAAGTCTTTCGAGAGTATGTAGTCGATGAGAGACTAAGGAGTAGGAGGAGTAAATCACTATGGGTAAGTAACAAGATTTGAAAAACTGTAAAAGTAGAGGCGGAGTGATTCCAGATTGTCTTAGCTTCTTAATGTAGCAGATTCGACGAAACATTTGCTTGGAGATCGATAACATATGGAATGACAATTAAGGTCAGTAGATAGAACGATAGCCGAGCCCTTTCCTGTTCGACTCAGTTTCTCTCACAGTCGCGTCTACGCAACGAGTATCATGTGCACTAAGCAGTCGTTGTAGACTCCGTTTATGTGTAAAGGAGAAGTCACTAGTTTATCTCTGCCAGTCTTACTCTCGCGTCGCTGTGATAAATGGTAACAAGTTGAGCAGAATAGAGACAGGCAATATTGAGAAACACTTCCAACTTAATACGTCAGCTTCCAATCCACGAAGAATATCGCATGTTCAAAATCCATCAGCCTCACTCTTATATACTTACTTCTCATTCCTCTACATGGCTTCCCACTCCTCGTTCACAATTCTCCGAACACATCTCATCAGGTAGGAATGCAACCATTTGTAATAGACTCTATCTTCAGACGACATAATAACAAAAACTTGACGAAGGCATATTTGACTGGCGTTTCATATCTCAGACGAAAGACGTGTTGGACATGAAGCTGGTGATTTTCTACTAAAAATTTCAACAAATAAACGCCACCTCATATCATTTCTTTATCATGAATATACATTGTTGGCAATCGGAACGTCGTAGGAATTACACTAACCTTTAATAAGTAATGTAACGAGTAAATGGGATGGAACATTCTAGAACATGCTGTCAACTACATACTGTTTGGAATAAGTCGGTTATTATTATTATCAATAATATCAGTTGAAACAAAATGTAGAGATAAATATGAAACGGAGATGTGCTCTTGAATCTCGATGTTCCACCTGAAACAAATTTGAATATTATAAAAGGGGATTTATATTCGTATTTTTGAAATTACTTTTACTAATGATAATAATACTGGGGTTTCCAGGACGCTTGTGGATGACACCACGCAACCGTTGTGTTATTCGATATGAGATTAGTTCGAAAAGTGTTCTCCGCGCAACTTGGCGTCTACCAGCGAAACACTACACCCATGGTTTATGTCATTTATTCTACGTACTAGACATCGGAGTTCTCGTCCAACTAATCACAATAAATCATTTGTAAAAGTGCTATAATGAATGATACACGTGAGTTTCATCAGGAACCAGTAAGTTAGGTGAATATTGATTGTAGAAGCTTGTGCAGAAGCATAATGATTTACAGAATGAAGAGATATTTGTGTTATTCAGGGTCAACATCATACGTTGTATATTTCCTGTATAATTATTATTATTTCTAAATATTTTGATTTAGAAATGATATAATGATGACAATGGTGAAAATAACAGCTCTTTTCCAAACTGTAATTTTAATAAATGCTTGGTAAAAGTGTGTTAGTTGAATAGTTCTTAGTAAATATTATGAATAACCTTCAAATGAGGTGATTTTAGTAACGCATAATTAATTACAGTAGGAAGAAATATTTGCGTTATTCAGCATCAACATCACACGTTGTGTTTCTTATGAGTCTGTACGTGTATTTCTGAGTATTTCACTTCAGAAATAATTTAATTATAGTAATGATGAAAATGAAAGCTCTATTGGAACCTGCAATTTGGCCAACAAATATCCAATTTCAGCATGATCACCTCGGGGAGTCAAGAGAAGCGATAGTAATTTATCTATAGTGTATAGGTTGTAACGGTGAGATCAATGTTAATTGTAGTTTAATTCATTGAATCAGTTTTTCTGCTCCCTCTCTCATGCTAATCCACATCACTTGTTTCATCTGAGCCAACTAACCTCAATCACTGTACAGCACTGTGTGATTTATCAAAATGGAATCTTATCCATAATAAAGTATTGTCCATTGTCGGCAGTGGTTTTCTGCAGAACTCTTCTTCATTTTTGAGTTCTGCGTTTTTCGTGGGTGCAAAGTATTACATAACTGATACTTTCCTTGCTTTTGGATTGAATCTGGCTGTCATTTTCCTGTGGGAGATTCCTTCTTGTTGCATCAGGGCCTTCATTACTGTTAGTGACATCATGGTAGCCACCCACTGCCTCAGTGTGCTCACGGTTGTCTTGTGGGTGTGCGGAGTGGACAAACGACTCTCCCATTGACAATTTGGTGAGGCCACTCCCGTTCCATCTGCTTCCTCATATCCCCAGTAATTGAATTCCATATCTTTTCATCTCGTTTGAAATCTGGGCAGCTTTGCCAGTCTCGTACATGGTGCGGACGTTCAATGTTCCCATAGAGTTTCTTTTGTTTTCTGGCGATGAAACTCATCGCACTGAAGTTTCTGTAGGAACTTTGTTTACAGACTGGGTTTGCTAGCCTCACGCCTGAAAAGTGGGTTGTTACATGAATACATAGTTTGCAGAGGAGCGACGTTTTATGTTTCTCCCCTTCGAATCAGGAAAACAAGGACTAAAGCAATCAGAACAACACCAGTTACAAGAAAAGAAAATATTCTCAACAGGAAGGTCAGCGACGACAACAACAACAGAAGAACCCATAGTTGCAGCATCACTGTCAAATACAGTTGACAAAAATGATATGGAAACCACAGAGTCACTGACTTGGGTCAACTTGAGCATGTAAATCAGACAATATATATATATATACAATTAAAGATATTAGTTAGTGTTAAGCAGTCACAATATGCCGAACAGTTAGTCTTCGGTATTATCAATCAGCCAGATTATATCCACAGATTCAGTGTTCAAAGGTGAACTAAGTACAATGAATCCCACAACTTCCTGGTGAGAAAGCACCAAAGAAATGAGAGTTTTATGAAACTAAGCAAACGTAGCGCACTAATCGAAAAGCGCTTCAAGGGTTATTTTTCTCAGTTGCAGATTAGTAAGGCTAACTCAAATCTTCGTGAAGTCGGATGACTTCTCAACTGTGATCTTCCACAGTGTATTGCGAGTGTCCTTTCTTCATGTGGACACCATCACATGAACTCTGCTTACTATTTGGATTGAGGTGATTCTGCAGATCGATAGATTTCAATACACCTATCAGATTGCTCCGATCAATTATATGACTCACCCGATATCATGAGACGTTGTTTCACACACCAATCACAACACTCACAGTCATCCACAAATGAACGATGAAATCGTGATTATTGTAATCAACCAATTACAGCAATAATTGTGACTGCTTCTTGTGGTATAAATAAGGGAACGGAAAGTCAGTTTTCATAAGAAGATGGTCCACTTCGCATACAGCCACATAGCTTTCATCACCCTGTTGGCACTTACAGCCATAAATTCAGGTAAGCACTTTCTTCAAAAGATAGTACATTTGTTCCTTAATCCTTACGAAAGGTTCGCCTTATTCACTAGAACTGCTAAATATTTCGCCGGCTACTCTCACGGGCTATTCTCACAAGTTAAGCTTTGGCTGAGGAATGGTCGCTGTCGCGTACGCTTTCATATCAAATTCATCTTGCCTGATACATGGTAAAGAGCAGTGTAATAGCGAAGGCGTCTGTTCTCCTGACTCTGATTCAGAAACTGCGTAAATCAACAGTTGCACAGTGACATGTTCTCTCATTTGGATAATGTGTCAGTCTAGAATTTCCTAAGATTTAAACAGCTTGAATACACATTTTGAGATGATGTGTTTCTGCCCTGCAATGGCATACATAAGGCGGTCGACAGCAGTTTGATGTATTTTAAGTAGACAAATTGTTCTGATAATTTTCAGTATTCTGAAACTCCTCCTATCTATTATAATTGACGGTTGCATTTCTTCATTTCGTTTCAAGGCGAGTCGACGAGTAAAGATGCAATTTCAGCGAGACTTGCTAAAATCAAGGGTAAGTACGTTTCAAATAAATATCACTTGAGTTTGTCAATCGACTTGATATAAGAATACAACTTCTGCACTGTGGTAGAGTATAGTTTCATTATGGGTGAAACTTATTTTGACATAGTCTCACAGTGTTAAACGGTAATATTCACTGATGAGGTTTTGTGCACAATTTACTACTCGTCATATCCATATCAAGGTATTCACTTAACTTTCTATCTTCGTTTACACAATTCCATTATTTTTCATCGCTTGACTTGATTGGTAGTAGTATTTTCCATATTCCGGTTTGAGTGATGCGTCATTTTGTATTGCACTGTTGAGTGCAGATTCTATGAGCAAGGATTCAGTAACCAACCTCTCTTCACCTACCTACATAACTTTTTAGAATTTTAACTCACTCCCACCCTACTGTGTGGTCGTGTATTGTTAATGCATGCAGTGCAATTGCTGAACTGTTTTCTAAGCTACTTATCTTCGTGGATTGGTTCAACCATTCTAACGTTAACTAAATTCTTATGTTCCGCCAAACTGAATACTCCTGATCCACTAGTTTGACCCATGTAGTTGATCTCACAGTAATTGCAAGGTTTTTCGTAAATATGTTATTCTGTCTAATTGGGTCAACCAACAGTGTCCTTCAACCTACATAACTTGTCCCACCTGAGTGAAGTTGAAGGTTTGAATGCCACCACCCTAATTCCTGCTTTCTTAAGAATCCTATATAGGGAGGGTCTCAGACTTGAGTGCCCCAACTGACATTACTTCAGCCTTCTTCAATGAAACGATTTCCAATGTGCCTTATTCACTTGTATCCAATGTTCTTACTTAACATATGACAATTCATTCAAAATAATCTCGTTTCCCTACAGGAGAAATACCCGGAATCATTACGGCTATTAAAAATTCAGAAAAGAAAATAAAAGAGATTAAAGGTATATAAAACCTAAAGATTTATTGTTGATAATATTTTTACGCTGACGAAAACATACTTCAAATTATTCTTTCGAAATTATCACCAATGATGACATCAAAGCATCAACCATTTTATCTAGTATGTAACAGATAATTATGGCATTTTAATACATGTCTCCAGAAGCTGTAATCACTAGACCCTTTTCACTTTTCTGTTTTCCTAGACTTCATTCTCAAAGAAGAACCACACTTTCAAGGAAACATGAAAACGTGTAAGCAAGTCAAATTTATTGAAATGATGGACTACCTATTTTAGTTCTGGGCTGCCTGGAATATGCATACGAGTACTATTGGGGATTCAAGGCATTTAATAGTACGTTGTGGCAATTTTTCAATTAAAATATCATTTTATTTACGCAATATGTTCACTAAATTGAGTTTTCATCTGATAAATAAGAAGTTGGTTTCAGGATTCAATCACAGTTGTTGATGTGCTCTCTCACCGATCATTTCAATACTGAACGTCTATTCGACAGTGGTGTGATGAACGTTAGCAAGTTTTCTAACTAAAAATTGATCAGATCTGCCGAATATGCTTACTTCAGTCTATCTCTCTCAGATACGCTTAACTTTTTTCCCGAAGGTAAGCTAAATATTTTGAATCATTTCTGTACTTACTTACCGTCATAATTATTTCTTGTCAATATTCTGACTAACAATTTTCATCTGGCCTATATTCGCACTTCAGCATCTCAACTATTGTTATTTTAGTCCTGACTTTTATTTACTGACTTGAAACAAAGATGACTAATTTCCTCATGCACCGATGAAGATGACGAATTGGTTGACGATTCATCAGAATTTCGGTTGTGTTTGCGTTTAACATGCATAAATTTGTATGAGCACTATACTGAGAAAACAATAGACATGGATTGATACGTGTGAAACTAATTTACTTACAGACCCTCATAAGAAATTAGTCGATGCGAAAAACTGTATCCAACAAGAAACCTTGGAATATAAAGGTAAGTAGGATTTTATTACGCTAACCAGTCTGAATAGTTTCGTCTGTGTGGAGTAACGATTTTTGAAATGCAAGTCTCCACGCATCTTTTGTAACTTTGAGTGAATAATCAAACTGTGTTTTACTCTTACTCACCCATGAACAGCGATTAAAGAGGCGTTCCACCCAAAGAATTGTTACGGGTTTGTATTTCCAACGAAAGGAGGTATTCATTTGTTCCTTTTTTACATTCTTGATGAACACTGATGAACAACATTTTCGCATACACCCACGATGAGGGTGCATTTTCACATGTCACAATACCTTCGTCATCATGATTTGAATTCATGAACATCCATCGCTTATTATGCGCTAGTCAATGATGAGGATTTTCCAAGAGTCAGAAAATAATGTGTGAAGTAGGATGAACAAGTTTAGTGTTCTGGATGGTAGTCAGTCGTCTAAAAACGGCAGTTGTGATTTTGAGTAGAAACACACACACTGGAAGACAATTTGTTGAACGTGAAACACTGAATGAGTACCACAAAAGTGATATTATGACTGCAGTTTGGACAAGTTTTACTCTTAACTTCATGCAAGTGGATGAGTTTGTGAAGTAGTCAATTGCTTGTGTCTGCGTGCAAAACAGACTATTCAGCGTTATTTCATGACATGTATGATCCTGTGAAGTGCGTTCTCATAGGTATTCATCCCCCCTTGATTTATTTATCAGATATAAGAGGACTCATGTCAAGAGAATTTGAATTATACGAGCACAAGCACAAGCTTACTATTAAAATTTGTGAGTTCATTTTCTCTGTATGATTAAACTGCACAATCAACAATTTCTATGCAAAAACAATATAAAGGCAGTGCTGTGATTGTGAGAATAGTCAATCCCTGTCCAAGATTAGTTAGTTATCAGAAGAACTCAGTAATAGACCACAATCCCTTTCGCTGGTCAATTCAAATACTTCACAATCTGTTTTATAATTTCTAGATGGGAAAATTCTGAACGAAAACCTATTGAAGGGGTTGTGAGGTGAGATTTATTTTGCATTATATTTCCACATTTTATCATACGAAGGTCTGTTAATGCGGTTATGACTCAAATTTGAAGCGAACGAAGTGTGATAGTGTAGGATGATGAGTGGGGAGGGCACAACACTGGATTCGGATATTCACTGCAACATTCAGATAATATTTTTCACCATAGACCATCATTTCGCTGTCCAGCTCAAATATTGATTCATGAATGTGTGGTTCAAATTACACTGTATAATACTCGTGTTTAATCGATTGATGAAAGCATCATGAGTGGTGTTGTAAGTAACCGTGTGCACATTTCAAAAATGTCACTGAGGCTATGCAATCAAGCTGGTGAAATTCACACGACCCATAGTGAATTATTGAATTTAACAACTCAAATACACCGACAAATCATAGAAATGGAAATCATCACTCACTTAAAATATCTTGAATTCTCGGATTCTATGAATAAGCACACAGTTCACCAACATTCATCCTCCTTTTCACGATTATTCTTTCTTCATTATTTTAACCACTAGTATTTCTCTCAATAATATTGCTAACTGGTTTTTTTCTCACACAGGGAATTGAGGAGAAGTTCCACGATGAATTTCAAATGTTGGCGTAACACTTAATACATGTAGACTGTAGTAGCTTTCGTAAATATTTCATTTTTAATTTAAATTAAATAAATCACTTTTCTGCTACACCGCTTTCTCTTCATGAATTCAAACCCCATTCATGTTAGGCACTAATTCCAATACCTAGCATAGTCATAACAGTTATCTGCCTGATCACTGATATCACTTAGATACCACTGAATGAGGACACTCTGGGTGATACCTAAATATCGTGAAATGTCTGCAGAATGCACTTCCATAATCCGTGTGTAAAGAGCAAAGCTGACTCGTTGTGGTGTGAACACAGGGAAGCATGAACATTATAGGTTACACAGGGACAATGACAAGTAAAAAGGATGCAGTGAGCACACACCACATATTAACGATTGTACACCTTGATAATAGATTCGTTGAAAGAGTCTCTTCGCTGAATCAATGGAACCATGTATAAATTTGTGATTGTACAGCTGTGAAAATGAATTCACCGGAAATAAATTCTTCGCTGAACTACTGGTCTTCTCTCTATAAATGAAGAACACATCGTGATAAAATTGTTTCTCGGTTACCATCCTGGTCGAGAGAGAAGTATCTGGCTACGTACACTACGTGATTCCGAAATTCCGAAAGAAATTGCCTACACACTGCGTCAACTGAGTTACGCGTGACTACTGAAAGGAACATTTCTCCATACGGATTGAAAATAGAAGGTGGCGAATGCAATCGTAATTCAGAAATAGAATAAAAGTCTCAATGTGTAGTAACCTTAATGAAACCATCAACGGGGATACTACGGGTGTCAACTCTAAGATTTTATGAAAGCGTATTGTCAGCCTTATCTGGGTAGTTCAATCAGATGTGTGTCATATTGGTGCTGCCAGTTGAGCTTGTTGGTCGCCCCCAATCATTCTGAGATTTCAAAAAACACTGGCATAGTGGAATGGATATCTAGAATTTTCTTCAAAATATTCCGCAGATTCGTCATTGTGGAGGACGCTTTTCACTCGGACTACATCTTCAAAGAGAGCAAAGACATTAGCGCAACCAAGAAGCAACAAAAAACGTCTGTGGTAATCGTCATAAGGATGAGTGGTATTAGTTCATTTGAGATGGAAATGACTTTTCACTAAAATCACAATGATCGTCGTCATCGGTGTACAGAACTCAAAATCGATTCGCTTAAGCAACTGAATTTCGTCTTCATTCAATCATGTCGTTGATATTCCTAAGTGTGAGTATGAACAGTGGAAGTGTAGATAATTTCAGATAGAAGCCATCTCCCTCAATAGTGATCATAATCAATGATCATCTGCTCACACATAAAAATAACGCACGACAGTTGCTTCATATCGTACGATGAAACTGTTTACACAGGACGGAATTATTTGTGTGATTTCAGGTGAAGTTCATGCGTTGTTTGTTTGATGAGAATTTGTCAATGTTACAAATTATTTTTATTTAAATCTCATTCTGCACAATGAGAGTTCTTAAGTTAGGATGTTGTATAGAGTGTTGAGGAGCAGTGAAATTGGCGGTTGAACCAGTCAAGTTAATTTCCTGCACCGTGCTATTGAATTTCTACACGCATTACATATGAGACACTGCCTTCATTCAATCATTCGCTTCTGGCTGCACTTCCTTGTCTTGTTGTCTATGCCTATCTTGGTCCTCATCATTCGCCATGTTTGTGTTTGAATGAATTTGCGAATGAATAGCTTTGAAGAGACGGTCAAGACAGTCAACTTATTACGCAAATGTATAAAAATAACAATAATTCCCTTTATTCCAAAAACAGTACTTGTGATACAGAATGGAATTTTCAGCATTCATCACAATATCTTGCATCTAATTTCCTCAAAATATAAATAAATTGAATCACACAGAAAATTTTCCATATTTACAATCGAGGTAATTTCAAAAACATGCAGCATATAAAATGCAGATAATATTAATGATAACAGCTAAGGTAATAATAATAATAGTACAAGTGAAAATTGCTGTTGGATTGTTTCACACAGTATTGTTTGATGCGGTATAGAAATCCTAACATGGTTAGAATACTATTGAATATAATGTTCTCTCTACGTGATATGGTGAGGGAAAAAACAACGATTACATCAGTCATAGAGATAAGTTGTTGTTTGCAATTATGAGAGTAAATCAAAGAAGCAACAGGACCATAAATAATATAATAAAATTAATAAAAGTAAAACTTGAAGGTATATAAGGATGGATGGATATTTATTTACTAGATGAGAAAAGGTTAGTTAATTCTTGCTTGACATTATATTCATCATATAAAACACGTGCCAAGTATGGTATCATAGAAAATTTATACTCAGACGTGCGAGCATACAGTTTTCTGAAGTTACTTCTTGTTTTACTGAGGAGATGCAAGCTGAAAGCTGAGGATGAAGTGGATGCTCCAAGTCAGACAAAATCTCTTTACCGAATTCATTGAACGAAGTCAAGTGCCTATCGACAACGACGTTAACTATGTGGTCCACTGGGACACCACTCACCCTACTGACTGACAGTCTTCAGCATTCTAAGAACTGGGACATAGTCCTTTTCGAGCAAACCAGGAAAGAACAAGCAGGGTGAACGATGAAGACGAAGAGGTAGGATACAAGATATTAGTTAGTGTTAAACTGTCACGAAATGCCAAACAGTTTTCAAAAGTCAAATGAATAAACAATAAATTGCTAAACGTCTTTGGCAGTTAACGAGAGAGGAATCAGAGTTTTGTGTAACTGAGAAAATGTAGCGTGCTAATCGTGAAGCGCGTCGAGGTCTAGTCATTCAAAGGTTGGTTTTATGATAATGCCAAGTGTGAAGTGATCCACGATAGAAAACTCAGTGAGGCGTTCGATGTGCACACAGTAGTGAGACAAGGCTGACTGCATATCATCACCGATGATACTCTTAATTCTGGTGGACTGGATTCTGCGTCTGACTATGCACAGAGAGCGAGGAGACAGGAGTACGCTGGACCACTGATGAGAAGATTCTAGAAGATGTGGAGTTGGTGTTTAGATGATCTTTGTTTGACGGCACACAAACTCGGAGACTTGCAGGCGAAAATCGACAAACTAGATAAAGAGGTGAACATCGAAGTCAGGACATAGAGAAGATAGAGTTGATGAGTATATCAATGAACTGCAAAAACATTATCGATACAATTATAAATCTTGAGCACTGTGGTAGAGTAAAATTCCATCATGGATGAGATTTTATTTCGATTATTGACACAGTGTTATACAGTAAGATTAACATTGACCAGAACTAAACACCATCAGCGAGGAAGACGAAATAGAGGTTATTTCCTTCACTTATCCGGCTAGGAATTATCGTTTCCACTACAGATCGAAAGGATGTCATGTCAAGCTGGCCAATAGTGGATAGTCGAGATATGTCATCATCAACGTGGAAGTTTTCTGCATTCAGCATCAGGAACAAGATTCGCGATTTGAACACAAATGTGAAATCCGTCATTCCATATGCGTCAAAAAATTCAGCAGTGCTTCGGTCCGCAAGCACATGTAGAGTGAGACACTCTAAGAGGAACCAAATATCAAGAAGTTAATGTGAACTGTGAACTCTGCGTAATAAGTGAAACGGCAAGACCATGGGGAAGTGAACCATTGTGATATCAGATATATCAAGGAAAGCCTGAATTTCCGGAGAGGTACAGAAACACTCTGGTTGTGAAATGCAGTTCTTCGATGACCATCACTGAACATCATATCTGCTTGTATTCCAAAGTCTATGACCTAATTGTCAAGTTGAACTGACACTGCAAACATACATAGGATCATGTCGTTCAGGTGTTACTTACGTACTGATATCTGACAAACGCCTTCCGATTTATGAAGTATCCTGGTTTCTGTTTCATGTCAGGTTGACTTCACTTTCACACTATTAACACTCATCATATAACTTCATATAAACTAGCCTCATCTTCCTTCTCGTGAACAGTTTCCATTGAATGGTGTTCACATTGAAGATATTTACTTCCAGATGAATGTTGAAATGTGTTTGTGAATAACACATGTGGAGGGTGTATAAGGCGCTTCAATTTTTTTTGAATTAAGTTGTCTTGTTGTGTAACAAGTAATGCGGAACAGTGTGATAGTGCAGGAAAGTGACCCAATCCATCCAGATCCATTTTTCACTGATCTCAACGATTAGTTCTACACATCATCTGAAGTCATGTCGCTTATCCGCTCTGTTAGCTGATCACGCTGCAAAATTGGATATTTTTACTAAAATTGCTGCTTCGAACAGAGCCGTTAATTCTCATCATTGTTATAATTATATCATTTTTAAATTGAAATAATTAGAAAAAATAATAATTATTATACAGGAGACATACAACGCATGATGTTGACCCTAAATTACACAAATATTTCATAATTCTGTAGTTAATTACGCGTTAGCAAAATCACCTCATTTGAAGGCTGTTCATAATGTTTACTCAAAACCATTCGACTAGCAACAGTGCTTTGTAAATATTATGAACAACCTACAAATGAGGTGACTTTGGTAACGCATGATTGTTTACAGAATGATGAAATATTTGTGTTATTCAGGGTCAACATCATGCGCTGTATGTCTCCTGTATAATAATTATTATTTTTTCTAATTATTTCAATTTAAAAATGATATAACTATAACAATGATGAGAATTAACGGCTCTGTTCAAATCATTCTATATCATTAGTTGGTCTACGTGAAAAACACAAATATTTCTTCATTCTGTGAACAAGCGTGCGTCTGTACACTATTCTTCAATCAATATTCAGATACTACACTGGTTCCTGATGAAGCACACGTGTCTCATTCATTCTATCACTTACAGAAATGAACTGATGTGATCAGTTGAACGGGAATTCTAGGTTCCACCTACTAGCATGTGCATTAAATCACACACACACACACACACAGGTGTTTTGTTTCGGTGGTAGACGTCAAGTTGAGTATTGTGATTACTCCTTTGCTTTCCGAGTGGAAGGTAGGGATTCAATGGCACATCTCCACTTTGTTCTGTTTTCTGCCGTCCTCTTCAGCTTGATGCACGATTG